ACAGACTTCGATTCCGGCGAAACGTATGGGAATGTATCAAGTCAATGAACCGATTCTGGAAATCACGAATACTATTGCATAAGACACAGGACTTGGTCCGTTCCACAATGTCTCCCTAACGCTCTAGCCTAGTTGCGAAAACGAGGCCAAACCAACACTATACATTTAATTGAGACTGCGACCAAACAGAAGGCCACATCATCTTGGTCTACATATTTGCAATAAATATTTTAGGCTTAAATCTATCTCTATAATCTAATTCAAAGCCGCTCAAAATTTACATTAAGACGAGTGAAACCACATCCAAATAAAAAGTATTTCAACATCTATCAGTTTAATATATTCTTTTTGGACTCAAATAGGCTGTGAGCCAGACAGGAAATTACGTTGATATAAACCCAATAAATTGAGGAAATTACCTCATTAAGTCGAGCTTTCGTCTTAATCAGCTCATCTTTTGCCATCACTTCAAGTTTTTCAGCATCTTCTTTGCTATCAGAATCTGCTATATTGACACCTCTTTTACTCTCAGAAGAGAATTTGGCAGATGAGGCAAGAGAGGTGCGAGACTGATTATTCCTTTCGGTGGGGGATAAAGACAGTCTAGGTCGGGAATATTTAGGCGGAGCTGAATTTAAGTAGGGCAACTTGTCACCTAAGGTTGCATGGCCAAAGTCGAGCCCAAGGTCGCTTCCAGGTAGTGCATCATCAGATCTTGAAGAAATAACTAGCACCAGGTCCAAGCAGTATATCAGACTATCTATTACGTCAAGACATTGAGTAAGAGGCCAACAAGAAGAGCCAATAGCGCCTTCGTTACAAAGTCGTTTGTCTGAGTTAGACGAATGGAACCAATCCGCCAAATTTACCTGAAGTGAGAATGGAAGTAAAAATGGAAGTAAAAATGGAAGTAAAAATGGAAGTAATATACAATAATAAAATGATACTTTAATATACACATCTCCCTGCCAACTTAGTTTTATTCTAAATAAGATGGCAGTTCTTAAGCGAGATCAAAGCCTACCCAACACGAATATAAATAGACTAGTCAATTGAAATGTCAATTTACAAGTTTGTTTTAGTGACATTCCAGCCATAAAGTGTATGGGATAGGTAGGGTTTGTCTTAAAAATCAAGTCTACCCTTAGACTCCGTTAATTGCGATAGTGTGGCATAGTGGTAGAATGAGATGTATTCACTCTATTTCGTTTAAGACAATGAAGGACTGGTGGTAGAATTTTCCCACAACGAAGTTTTCATTGAATTTCGCAGACTTGCTTTACCAAAAATTGTTCTCATCCAGGGTGGACTGCAGTTTCGGCCTCGCATACGTCTAATCAACACCTATCAAAACCTATGCGAGGTCGAAACTGCAGTCCACCCTGAATAAGAGTAACTTTTGGGAAAGCAAGGATATGTGAAATTAAATGGCAATTTCAGCTCTACTCATATCATTGTGGGCAAATTTTACTACCAGTACTTCACCACCTTGAACGAAATTGGGTGAATACATCTCATATAAGTAATCCACTGGTAGTCTCGAAACTCAATTCATATACAAAAAATAGTGGCAGAATGTTGGAAATATGTGTTGGACTGTCTCGGTTCGACTCCCATTTGGGGTGCTGATTAAACCTAGGCGAGGCTGAGGCTGTAGTCCACCCTGGATAGAGGCTATACAAGGTGAAATCCAGTGGCGCCGAGGGGCCTGATCGTATAATTTTACGAAAATTCAGCTATAAGCAAGCCACCACTTAAATCGATCTAGTGTAAATACAGTTTAAATTTAAAACCTACCCATAGTAGAGACCTACTAAGTATGAATAAGAGCAAATCATAATGACATAAATTTAAAATTAAAGAGAAAAAGTGGAAGGAACTAGTACGTTTTTTGATATAAACTCTTACATGAAAGACGAAAGCTCAAAAATATTAATCAGGTCGCAGGACGGTGAGTCGAGATAGAATCCAACGTTCTAAACTCCATTAGTTTCCGCTGAGGCCGATTCACGAATCCCTTACAATCAACTTCTCCATCGAAAGGAAAAGTTGTCACATTAAATTATCAAGGGGTTAGTCGAAAAACAAGCTGTTATTCATACTTCCAAAGTAAACGACAATTTCGAGACTAATTTAATATTAGAATACGGATATTATGAGTCATTAGAGGGTTAGCAAATAAGGTGGTTATTATATCAAAAAAGCTGGGTTTCTAACTAGCTCTTGTTGAGCTATTGTGAGTATAATTTCCATTTCAAAGAAGACGTTGGTTAAAAGTAATTCGCTACTTGGTCTCACCGCAAACCAGAGGAATCATGATATGTATTCACCCTATTTTGCTCGAGGTGATGAAGGACTGGTAGCTGAATTTTCCCACAAGGATATATATGTAGAGCTGACGTTACACTGAATTTCACATAGCCTTGCTTACACAAAAGGAGTTCTCATCCAGGCTGAAGTGGACTGCAGTTTCGACCTCGCCTAGGTCTTATCAACATCTCCAGCAGGAGTCAAACCATGACAGTGCAGCGTGTAATCTCGATACATTGCCATGAGTGTCCTTGTGCCATAGGGCAGATGTGAATTTTGAGGATGGCCAGACATTTTCCCGTATCACATTCTTTGGTGAGATTGTCGATGAAGCAAAGTTATATTTGCTATGACAATCGACTACATCACCTATTTTTTGTTAGCGTTTTAAGATTACATGTTAAAAAGTCATGATTCGACTTCGCTGGTCAAAACTGTAGTCCACCCCGGATGAGAAGACCTTTTGTGAAAGCAAGTCTATGTGAAATTCAATGGAAACTTCGGCTATACTCAAATCATTGCGGGAAAATTCAACTACCAGTCTTTCATCACCTTAAGCGAAATGGGGTGAATACATTTCATATAATTGATCTATTGCTAGTCCCGAAACTGTCTTTATAACTGAAGGAGGAATGCTGCCGAGTCAGGACTGTTGAATTATGCGACGAAGTCCTTGTCTCAATGCAGAGTGACTCAAAGGAAACCATGCTAAGCCTTCGTCTGTACTGTGACAAACATCATCAGTGCAAGAATCCATAGTTTACTAGATGGAACACTAAAATATTAGACCTAGAGAAAAGATGACCGGATCCAACCTGTCAATTCTTATAACCTATCTTCTGATGTTAATGGGGCATCTCATGATTTGGGTAGTTATATCAAGCTTACTCTACATGCTTGCAGATGGTAAAGTTAATTCATAAACAGGAAGCAGATTCAGTGGTAACTGTTCCCCTACATAAATAAACTAGCTTACAGTCCTTTAATGCTTATTGATGTTTAGGTATGCGCTATTATCTTTCGTATGTATGCAATATTTATGTAATAAGAGATGTGATAGCCATAACAAGACTCGAGGTAATTTCTGCCTCCTCTTGCTCAATGGTTCTTCCTGCTCATCCTCTATCTTCCTTTCTTTAAGTCAACGCAACTCTAATTAGTAGTTCGTGCTCAATTTCCTAAACTCTCCCCTCCCATTTAAGATGTTAACTGTTTTTTTACTCATATAGACTCCCTAATCTCGTGATTTAATGTGGAGTCTCCGTGTCCTACAAAACGTTGTGTTTTTGACCAGACTATCACGTGTCCTGTGCTATCCATGTGCTCAGCATGTGCAGATTTATCATAGACTCATAGACTTTAACATGCGGTTTTGTGCTGTGATAATCTCTTCTGGATGGGTAGGCAGGCCTCCTCAACAAAGACATTACTACATGAAGACAAAACATTGTAACAGTCTGATCTAGAAAGTTGATCCGAAAATTCACGAAGACAAGAGATGAACGATTTTATAACTCCTTATTTATCCTTATATGTTAATTACATCAAAAAGTAATAGGGAAATCCGCGCGTATAGGTTTCCTATACATAACTCTACCCAACTTAGTACTTTCTTTATTTACTAATACATATAAGAATGGCCTTTTATTATCCTTTTATAACACGATAATAAGTTCGGTAATGCCATCTAGTCAATTCAATAGCTCAAGCTATCTTTTTCATGTTACTAAACAAAAACTTAATAATATACAAAGCTAATAACTTTGTAACTAAGAAGGCCACTATAAAAAAACGAACCTCTAATCGAGTCATGCAGTTAATAAACAAAATAGTAAAGTATGGATTCTTGCTCTGAACGGGTTCATCAGTCGCAGAACGACTAGCCGAATTTTCTTACAACCCAACAGTCTTCACTTTGAAGCAATCCTCCTTCAGTTTTCGGTGAAACTAATACCCGAGTTCCTTCCAACCAACTTTTCCTTCAAAATAAAAGGTCGAGTCATAAGGTAGTCATGGGCATAGTCCGAATAAAACGAATAAAATGATTCATATCTACGATTACTATGGGCAAACTCTCAATAGAGTTTGGTCAAAGGATTTTTAATTTATTAACGTATTAACTAGTCTTTTCTATCCATATCTTCATGAAATTTATACAATAATTAAGGCTACATTTTGGATGAATGAAAACGCCCAGAAATGGCAAATATTATACCGTTTCGATCAGAGTGAGCGAAACCATGGGGCCGCAGCGTTGATTGATATCTATTAGACGCCGATAGAATGCCGATAAATGCTTCAGTGTGATTGGTCCATCAAACTCTTGAATGGAATCCTTTCGACCACTATCAGCATCAAAGCCATTAAGGGGACCAGTAGCAACCTCACACGAAGTTGAATGAGAGGCATCAATCTGGGGGTTAGGAACTGAGGGTCTTGGCGGACAGAACATAGGAGCCAATAGACGGTCGAGATGAGGCAAAGCGACTATCATATCAAGAAGGTGGTCAGACTGTCCAGCGGCAGAAGAGAGGCAGTCTTCAGCTGAGAATCGAAAACGAAATAGAAATCCAAGGAGAACCGGTATCCCAAAAATGAAGGAAGAAAGAGCGGATGGGCAGGTAAGAGGGAATGAAAGTATCGGTAAGAAGAAATGACAGCAGTAAAATGATAAGATGATGCAGCAGAAGCGGAAAGCTGTAAAAAAGATAACACAAATGTTGAGCCTGATGGCGAAGAGGCTAGATAGTACATTTAACCGAACTAAAACAGTCTGCCCATTTGAAAGTGAATATATATTTATATATATATGCATATGTATATATAGAAACAATTGATAAAATAGACTAAAAAGTCAAAGCGCGATACAGGGCTATAAGAATCTTCCAATAAGTAGTATTGGGTTGTATAAATAAGGCCATGCTTATGATATTAGACGAAAATCAGTTAAGAAGTTGTTTGACCTTGTTTTCGCAACTTGATCATATTGCTAGGACTTAGAGGAACGCACCTTGTCCGGAGTCCATTGTATGCATGATCATTTCCAAAGTAGGACTGTGGACGTGGTACATTCTCAGACGTTTCGCCGGCATCATAGTCGGCATCGTCAGTGAGTTTTGCCATTCTTAGCAACATACTGACACTCGTC